TTTGACTTTCCTGAGGATATTTTGAATACAGAAGCTCTTTATGATAGGTACATGAAACATGCATTTTATATTATTTTAACCTTCAAAACAGCGGCCGATGTCGGTCCGACGTCGCCCCGACGTCGGCCCGACGTCGGCTCGACCTCAGCAATTGATCTCGGTCCGACGTCGGCTCGACGTCGGCTGGACCTCGGCTGGACGTCGGTACATGCGGGCGTACCCCCTAATTCAATATACCCTGGGCGTACCCGACATCCAGCCGACGTCGTGCCGAGGTTGGACCGACGTCGGCATGCCGATGCCGAGATGTCGACGTCACCCCGACGTCGGGCCGACGTCGGCATGTTTACTGGGTAGCAAGTAGCTTGGAAGCGATTGTGGCGCACCGTGCCATTATTGTCCTGAGGCCACCTAAGAATGTCATCAAAGGTGGAGTGACATGGGCCTGAGTGTACCATGGCTCATCCCACGCAGTGAGAGTATGTGACTAACAAGGAAGGAGCACACTCTAATCTCTATGTACTTGCAACCCTCCAGCAAAAGAGTGGTTGGTTAGGCTATGTGCTTTTGGTGTAATAACTTTGAATGACAGAGCCACTCCTGTAAAATGACTCAATAGAAATGAGAAGAGGGTTCGTGCACACAATTCGGCAATTCAACACCCATTAGACGTATTCATCAATACAGATCGCTTATTGTGATGTTGGCAACCAACCACCAACCACCTGGAGGGCCGTACACTAAATCTCGGCATAGACTGGCGGTACAGCTCTACGTAACATAGCAATTTCTTGTGTCGCAAAAAATATGCGCCTGTTGGGATGGCTGCCACCACTGCCAGCCAACAGCTTGTCAGTAAGCATGATTCGGCCATCGCTAATGTGGCAACGGGCAACCAGGGTTTCGTAGTCGTGGTAGTGCTCTTCCGACTCAGACTCCGACTCCGGGTTCCCGACCGACTCCGACTCCGACTCCGACTCCGACTCCGGGTCTGATACAAAGGGCAATGGTGGCTGCCAAAGTTCCGCGTGATATGACGCGCCATGTTAGGTCTACAGAGTGTCCAGAAAGTCCTGGCGCTTTTCAACATTTTTAAAATAAATGCCTTTGGTCCATAGATACTCAACAATATAACAAAACAATGACCAGGAACACCAAGCCACATGCTTCTGCTCAGTGCCCATTCATTGTAACCACCGTCTGTGCCGACGACGGCCTCGACGCAAGGGCAGAAACGCCTGCGGGTTTTGACGATGCAGGACATTTCCTGTCCTCCCATGCTGTAATGATGCAAGTCTTCAGCGACTCCAGGCGGGGATGAGAGGTGGCCTAGAGCTTATTCTGCAAAACGCGTAGCGTAGCATGCCTTAGTCGAGCGGGTTAACCCGCGCCCCACTGGGGGGGGGGGCTATTCATAGCCCCCTCCGTTTTTCAGCAATAACTTCCAAACCACTTGACCTATCGACGCCAAACTTTCAGTACCTTCGGCGGCATCAATTTGACACCTTGTGTCAAAATTTGAACTTCGTAACTACCATAGGTCGGCCGGAAATGACGTCAGAGTGACGTCATGTTCGGCCGATTTCGACGCAAAACGTTGAACCAAGGCAATCGCTCCTAAGAGCTCAGTGTTTAAGCTAGATCCAATTTCTTTGCAAGAGAGGACTCAGAATTGATTGTGCTATCATACTGCTATCTCGGATTTTCAAAATTTTGAAAATTTTGAAAATGTTAAATAATAAATTTTTTATTGTTATATATTTTTCAAAAGTTTTTGACTTTTCGAAAAACCGGAATATATGTGACAGAACGCATGCTTATGACTGACTCTAGCAAGTTATAGCTAAATATCTTAAAAAATGGCCAAGTTATACGCATTATTGAAAAAAATCACAATTATTAATTTTTCAAATTAAATTTTCAGTATCTATTTGACATCGTACACCAATATAAATAGCACCATCGTGTTTCTGAGCTCAAACTGCAGCCAATAAACACCTTTGTTGTTGAAAAAATTCAACTTCAAAATTTGACCTTTTTTGACCTGAAAGTGACCTGACCTAAGCTAAATTCGACTCAAAATGACCTCAAATGACACAGACGACATCAAATTCGAAATCTATGGCCTAAATGGACCATAAAACATGTGTCACGTGACCGACGCATGATATAATATTTCCGTGACCTGTGATGACCTGACCCTGACCTGAAAATCAAAGTACAAGTTTGGTACCCTCAGGGTATCTAGAGCATCTGTTCACGAGTGTGGCAACCAAAAATGAGCCTGATCTGACTTGTAAGACGGCGGCCAGAGCCCAAAATGTGAACAAGCCAAAATGCTGATAATTTTTACTTTGACCTGACCTGTGACGTCATCGGTGACCTCGAGGTCAATGAAATTAGGTTTTGCTCTACAGTTTTTCCGGGGCTATCAAACGCCGTTTGAATTTTGACGATCGACCCAGTAGTTTCGGAGTTAGGAGGGGGGCTATGGAGAGTCCCCCCCCCACCCCAGTAGGGCGTGTTATACGCAGACCCCATTGGGGCGCGGGTTAAGGCTGGGATAATAAGGTGACCTAATCTTATTTCACCACGGTGATCTGTCAGTTTGGTTTGGACGGCAGCGGCGTTGTTGGAGGGCGCTCCGTGCTGTTGAAGTGCGAAATGACCCTTAGGGCAAGTCGCCTTGATTGTCGTGTCCAGGAACCCCTCGTGGACCAGCCTGTCAGTCATTTATTTGACCTTGACGAAGATGATGGAACATTTGTGTCAATCTGACCCCAGATTTTCTTTGATTGCCGCTGAAATGCTGCTTCAGTCTCAGCAGCTTTGGCATACCGTGGTCGTAACTGAATGATAATATTTTCTAAGAAATTTCCGATCCGGAATGCACCTTTGCCTGCTCAACCGTTCGCCGGGAAACGCCGCATCGCGCTGCAACTCGCGCCTCGTTCAAGCCGCACCGGGCCCCCGCGCGCGGGCTGTCAGCGACAAGGCGCATCTATTCTTAGCCCATATACCTAGCACTGAAAACGGTTTCAAGGTCATATTTACGCGACCCCTAGCTGAGCGGTGAAGGGTGAGGTGAGGTGAAGGGTGAGGTGAAGGGAGAGAGCGGAGCGGTGAGGGGTCATATCTGCGGTGATTGGTTGAAAGTCCAATAATCATAGCGCGCGTTAGACGACGTCCAAAAGAGGCGCCAGAACTTTCCGGTCACCCTGCTCGCGCACCGGGAGATCGCTCCGGTTTCGTTCATGCGGTCACCATTTCTCCCACGTGGACGAAGCTGAATCCTTAGAGACCAGCGGCCGGCGGCCAGCTTAAAAACCCGCCGAGAAGCACGAGTGTAGCCGTATCATGTCCACGGGCATCGCCATCATGTCGGTCTGTGTTTGTGTTAGGCACTTTTTGGAGCAATAAAAGACGAAAGCAAACATTCAGTTGTTATTAAGTCTTTGGCACTGGATAGTAGAAGTTATAACGCGAGCGCAAAATGCTTGCCTACTTAACCCGCGCCGGGCAGGTGCTCTAAGATTCCGCGCCGGGCCGGGGGGGGGGGTGTGTGTCTGAACACCCCCCCTTCTAACTCGGCTCCTGAGCCACGTAGCGACACGCGGTAAGCGGCAATCGAAAGAACGTCCAAAATCAGGACGAAAACACTTCGGTCATTTTTTGGGTCAGGTCAAAGGCCAGGTTACCAGAGGTCACCAAAGGTCAAATGTCCACTATTTCAACATTCTGGAAACTGCCAACGGCTATCTCGGGAACCGATAGAGCTACAGCGCCGCGGAAAAGCGCATTCGATAGCCCTTTTACAGACCTTTCTTGGTAATGTTCTCAGATTTGACCTCAGGTCAACGGTTTAGCCTCCAGGGGGCAAAAACTCCAAAAATAGCCGTTTTTACGAAAAACATTTTTTCGGCAATAACTTTTGACTCAAAAGAGTCATGACATTACTTTTGCCACCATCGTGTTCCTCTCGTCGAGACGCGTCGAATGAACTATAATTTGACCTTGAAAGGTCAACTTGAAAATTTGACCTCAGGTTAAGGTCATGACCTGACCGGAAAAGGTCATGATGTATATCAGTCGATCCGCAACGTCGAGCCGAACACATCTAAGGCGTTTTCAGCGCTCTAGCGCGTCTCTATCAGAAGTTATTAGCGAAAAAACTGTTAGATTCTGTTCGTGACCTGAGATGACCTTGGTGACATAACGAGGGGTCACAGTTGTCATTTTCCGGTTCAGTGTGTCCATTTTACCTACATCTCGATGTTTGAGAGTGTCTAGAATAACGTTCGTGCAAAACAGACGCTTTTCAATTTTCTCCCATTGACTTATAATGGAGAGGTCGCAAAATTGACCTGACCTTAGGTCACCGATATCAAAATTCCGAGATAAGCATTTTATAGATATTGTTGCTCTAATCAATCGCTGAAAGTTTCAAGGCAATCGATCGATCGGTGTAGCTATGACGAGCATTCTTATTTTTCTGAGGTGAGGTCACTTGGCGTGACCTGGTGACCTGACCTAAGGTGACCTGGATCTGAAATTTTCACAACATGTGCGGAAAAGATGCACGAACAGGTGTGCCAAAAACGATATCTTTTTCGATTTTTGAGATATCTGTGAAAAACCGCAGGGGGTGTTCAAACACCCCCCGGCCCGGTGCGGGTGAATCATGACACAGGCTTGAAATTTGCAAGATGCAGTGTTAGCTTTTCAGAACAAAAACAAGATGTGTGAAAAAATAACTTATTTGTGATCACCGGAAGCGAATTTTGCCGTGAGGCCACTGGTTAAAAACAACTGAAAAGTGATACCACGGATTCTAGACTTCACTTATCTTTCCGGAGTCGGAGTCGAGGCAGCTGGACCGACTCCGACTCCGACTCCGGCTCCTGGCTGCTTGCCACGACTCCGGGCGACTCCGACTCCGAAACCCTGGTGGCAACCATAAAAATAGCGGCAAACTGCAATGACGTACGATACAAAATGCATCAGTTCTGTGACTTGTGTATTCTGGCTACGGGGAAGCCTATGAATATGAATAAAGCTAAAATGATATGGTCATTAAACTCTTAGCTGAGTCCCTGCTAAAATCTAGCATTTTGATTCGGGTGGACGGACATGGCACGATTAGCGAGCGGTGATCAAACTGTTAGCTAAATTTCCATTCAAACCTTTTCCGATATGCTGCTTTCATTATTATTACAGACACTTGACATATTACGGACACTTGGATGTAAAAATGATGGCTGGCACTTTCTCAGCTATCGTGATATAGCACATTATACATTCCTCACTCACGCATGTATATAATGGACTGGAATACCTGACACGTCATAACGTAAAATTGGCGACCGGCTTTTCCATTTCACAACCACGGCTGTTGGACGAAACCCGCGCGATAAAGCACTGTGAATAGCTGCCCGGGAAAAGCAGCTCTCTTCATAACTAGTTCCGACAGCGGGCGTCCTGAGCAATCGGCGTCAGCGCTCCGTGAGTCAGCTCTCAGCCGCCGGGCTACGTCAGCGGCGCCGCTGTGGTCGCCAGCGTGACGACCGACTCGGCCAGCGCGGTGGCGTTCGCGGCCAGCGCGGTGGCGTTCGCGGCCAGCGCGGTGGCGTTCTCGGCCAGCGCGGTGGCGTTTTCGGCCAGCGCGGTGGCGGCCGAGCCGGCCAGCGCGGCGCCGACCGCGCTCGGATCGCTGACCAGGGCGCCGGCGATGCAGGCGGTGAGGAAGCAGGCCACATTTCCGGCCAGCATGGCGCTGAAGGCCAGCCGCGCCAGGTCGGAGCGCCGCTCGGGCGCCAGCGCCGAGATGCCGCTGATCTGGATGCCCATGGCGCCCAGGTTGGAGAAGCCGCAGAGCGCGTACGTGGCGATGACGGTGCCGCGCGCCGACAGCTCGCCGGCGTCCACCATCTCCTTGAGGCGCGAGTAGGCCACGAACTCGTTCAGGATCGTCTTCAACGCGATCAGCTCCCCGAGCTGGTCGCAGTCCTCCCAGGGGGCGCCCATCAGCCAGGCCACCGGCTTGAACACCTTGGAGGCGATGTACTCGAACGAGAGGGCCGCTCCGGCCGCCTCCTCGAAACTGACCAGCTCGCCCAGCCAGCCCAGCACGCCGTTCACGAACGCGATGAAGGCGATGAAGGCGATCAGCGAGGCTGCGATGTAGCCGCAGATTTTCACCACGGACATGGCGCCGCGGGAGGCGGCGTCCAGGGCGTTCACCTCGTCCCCCTTCTCCACGTTGATGTCGTCGACGGTGGTGCGCGAGCGGCGAGTCTCCGGGTAGACGAGCTTTGAGACGGCGAGCGCGGCCGGCGCCGACATGACGCTGGCCGAGAGCAGGTGCGACGGTGACACGCCGAACGAGATGTAGGCGGCCAGCACCGAGCCGGCGATGGTGGCGAAGCCGCCCGTCATGATAGCGTGCAGCTCGGACATGGTCAGCTTGGAGATGAACGGCTTGATGAGCAGCGGTGCCTCCGACTGGCCGATGAAGATGTTGGCGGCGGCGTTGAGCGACTCGCAGGCGGTGGTGCCGACAGTGACCTGCAGCAGCCAGCCGATCTGCACGATCACCCGCTGCATGATGCCGTAGTAGTACAAAATCTGGATGGCGAAGCTGAAGAACACTATCACCGGCAGCACCTGCGGCATGGCGAGTACCAGGATCAGATGCAGAGTTTGGGCACTAGAGTTAGAGCTATAACATGCTTCAGTGCATCAGAGAGACACGTGACAGTGACCTGTCTGTCCAGACCGACACGTCTGTCCAGACAGACACATCTGTCCAGACAGACACATCTGTCCAGACACAGACACATCTGTCCAGACACAGACACGTCTGGCACGTCACAGACACGTCTGTCCAGACATACACGTCTGGCACGTCACAGACACGTCTGTCCAGACAGACACGTCTGGAACGGCACAGACACATCTGTCCAGACACGTCTGTAACGGCACAGACACGTCTGTCCAGACACGTCTGGAACGGCACAGACACATCTGTCCAGACACAGACACGTCTGGCACGTCACAGACACGTCTGTCCAGACACGTCTGGCACGTCACAGACACATCTGTCCAGACAGACACGTCTGGAACGGCACAGACACATCTGTCCAGACACGTCTGGAACGGCGCAGATGCAGCTGTCCAGACACAGACACGTCTGGAACGGCACAGACACATCTGTCCAGACACGTCTGTAACGGCACAGACACGTCTGTCCAGACACAGACAAAGCGACAAACAGGCACGTGCCCGTCGCTGACTCGTGTCTGCGATGATGTGTGATGATGATGTGTGATGATGATTCATGATGAAGTTAACTGAAGTTAATTGGGTAAAGAACACCAAATTGAAGCATTATTGCAGAACATCAGAATTTCTCACAGTAATCAGGACGAAAGAATATAAAAATGTGCAACAGTAAATACACTATATAAAAACACTTGGCTGATAAATCCTTCTTCTAGCTCACTCAACTCATTAAGTAGCGCATAATCACCTGGAAGGCGAAGACGTAGATGTCGGGGTCGGGATTGTCGACTAGAAAGCCGAAGACGAACTTGCTGCCCTCGTCGGTGTAGGAGAGGAAGGTGTTGACCTTGTCGCCGATGCACTGGAACACCTGCTGGCCGACCTCCCAGCGGAGGATGAGCAGGCCGAAGCACAGCTGCAGGCCCAGACCCCACAGAACGTGTCGCCAGACGACCTGAAACGCCGCAGTGACGGCCGTCAGCACGTCCCGTATCCGGTCCCGTATAATCAGAGTAAACGTCAGCAGCTCAGCCAGAAACACAAACAGGCGCCATCGACATGCGCTGGCAAAGGTCGATTGATGTGGCTTAGCGCTGCGATGTCTCGACTCCTAGGATTACAAACACTGCACGATTAGATGTGGCACAATCAGAGAGCGCCTCGCTGGCGTTCATGGCGCGTGCCTTGGGCCACCCGGTCGGTCCGAGACGGGCGCCCGTTCGGTGGCACCTACATACCTTGCCGGGATGGTGGGAGCAGAGCCAGCAGAGCAGTACGAACACCACGGCGCCCAGCGCCGAGACCAGGCGCGCCCGCTCGCCCACCGTGTCCAGTATCAGGTAGACGAGGATGCCGCCTGCGACCAGCAGAGCGCTGAGGTACCGGACAGCCCTGGAACCGCCCAGGACAGGCGTCAGCTCCGGAGCTCCGGTCTGGGGCCGCTGCTCCCGCCGGAGCGGGGCAGGCCGACCGGAAGTCCGGCCGGCAGCCGGCGCGTCCTCGATAGCGCGACGCGCCGGATTACCAGTGGAGTGCGAAAGGAAGCCGATCGGCCCGAGCGCGGCCTTGGACACGTTTGTTGGAAGCAAATGTCGGCCCAGGCCGTTACGAAAAATGTAGCTCATTGAAACTGCTTTATATATATATATATATATATATATATATATATATATATATATATATATATATATATATATATATATATATATATATATATATATATATATATATATATATATATATATATATATGTATATATCGGTATGTTCTCTGTTGTGAGTTAAGGTTCTTAAAATCAAATTAACAACAATAAAATTAATGTTAAGCGCATAATCATAATGAGAACAATATGATAAGGATGACTTCAAAAGACTTACTTTCATTTGAGCTTGACACATTCTGAAAACAATTTGTTCACGCCTTCTGGACACAACTAAATACAAAAGGAAGCCGTATCGTTTTATATACTCGTAGGTGTGTGAAAAGTTGCTTCCCGTGGCCACGAGTGTGTCCGCAGGTCTGGCAGAACGTACCTGTGGGACCACAGTGCGGCGCCCATCGTGCTGGCCGGCTGCAGCACGCCTGTGTGGACCGCCTCGCCGCAGCACGGCTTCAGGGCGTAGTAGTAGAGCGCGCCGGCGTACGCCAGCACCGTGATGATGATGAGGAAGCCCACGCCGTCGCAGTAGTCGATGGGTTCGCCGCGCTGTACGGTGTTCACGATGGCGCCGATCAAGTAGGCGTTGTAGGCCAGGAACAGCAGCGTCTTGACGGCGATCCAGAAGGAGCGCGTGTGCCGTCGGTAGAGGCCGACCAGCGCGGCGCGCGAGCTCACCACGGCGCGCGTCAGGCAGCCGTCCGCGGCCGGCTCGTCGTGCTCCGGGACAGCGTCCTGGCCGTCCGGCGGCACTCGGCCGGCCTCCGGGGGCACTCGGCCGGCCTCCGGGTCCGCCAGGTAGCGCAGCTTGGCCGGGTCACTCTGCTGGCAGGGCGGCGACCGTCAGCGACCGGCGGCGACTGCAGTGACACGGTCTGGGAGCGGCACGGCGGCCTCCCACTCACGGAAACTGCCTGATCCCAGCGGCCACCGGAGCCGACAACAGCACTGCACCAGCGGCCACCGGAGCCGACAACAACACTGCACCAGCGGCCACCGGAGCCGACAACAACACTGCACCAGCGGCCACCGGAGCCGACAACAACACTGCACCAGCGGCCACCGGAGCCGACAACAACACTGCACCAGCGGCCACCGGAACCGACAACAACACTGCACCAGCGGCCACCGGAGCCGACAACAACACTGCACCGGCGGCCACCGGAGCCGACAACAACACTGCACTCCAACCAAGGTGTGCAAGGCAATAATGCATGCAATACCGTTTCTCAATCTATGACCGCAAACTGGAGCACGATGGGATGTTACTAGCGTGTGGTGACGGTGATGTGCCTACCTGGAACTCGTCCGCAGGCCCTCCCAGATCGACTGTGGCGAGTCCGTTGGCGGCGCCGTCCGGCTGCAGCGCCGGGTTGTCGTAGGCGGCCATCTCGATACTGAGCGGCACCACCTGCAGCACCAGCGGGCACCACCGTCAGCACACACACACCGTCCGTCTCTGTCAGACCAGTCACTGGACACACGGACAGTCACACGCAGTCACACCCCGGGTAGTGAAGAGCAACGCGCAGCTCAGCTGCTCATGGGCATGGGCGAATCCTGATGGTCATTGTTTTTCACTCGGTTAGCCGGGCGGTGCCGCCGCGTTTGGCGTACCTATGCCGTCAGCAAGGGACGACCTCTCGCCTGGGTGCGCTCTCACAGGTGCGAGAGGCGACCGTGACAGGTGCCACTTGTCGGTGGAGTTCAGGATCCCCCGTATCAACACGTCGGCCCACCACAGCTGCTACCCTAACCGAACAGAATGCGGCTAGTACAACTTTACCAAGCGTGTGTTCGGCCTCCGGAAAATGGTGAATTATTTTCTGGGGTCACCGACAATGATTGGGAATCAACTTTGGTATCGGGAGGATGGAAAGTTATCGCAGATGTTTTCCACCACTGGAAAGGATCCTCAGAGCAGGGTCGCAGGGACATCATTCCTTTGTCGTCAGCTGGTAGCCAAGACGCGACGTGCAACTGGTAGGTACGAGTGTGTGCGTCGGAATTCGTACTCCGTGTGGGCGCATCGGACCACACGCCCCCACAACTTCGCTGGTAGGAATGTAAATAAAAAATACTGGTACCCAACTTACCAGTATTTACCAGTACCTACCCAAATTCAATAAACCTTTTCCATGACGCCTTAGAGCCCTGCCTAGGTACATCAATGATCAATATGGCATCAGTTGTCATTGATGACGCATGAGACGAAATACACCGAGGTGGCGAACGTTTGTTTTGCGAAAAAAAAGTATCCAGCAAACAATGCTCCCTAAAACTGGACATACTGCACGTATTTTATCGTAAATAATTTTCCGACGGCGAAAACCGAGGGACAACATTTTCCGGGTGCCGAACACACTCAACGTAGGACGATGGTACCGCGTCTGACACTTTAGGGGGAGGCAATTCAAGTTCAAGTTAATGCATTAGGAAGGGTCCAAATGGTGGGTATTCTGCACCCAGTTTACACCCAGCACACAAACAATGTGAGACAGTGCAGGACAGTACTCGTATAATGCATGGTACAGGTCTCGGCGCGAGATAAGTGGGAAAAGCGTGGGACACGGGAAAGGCATCACGGACAGTCTCGGCGCTTCCAGTGGCGGACTGTCACGGACAGTGGACGGACAGTGGCGGCACGGTAGCGGAACTGTCGCTGTGGCCTGTCTGGATGTAAGCCTCACGCGCGGAAGGTGAAGTTCCGCCAACGGTTGTCCAATTTTCATGACGTCACGACACACAACAATTTTTAAAAATGATTTTTTTTGGAACTTCTAGACCTCGTTCGTAAACAAAAATAGCACCATTAAATTCACCGTGAAAAACTGCATCAGAGAGACACCTTTTACTTAGAAAATTGACCTCACTTGACCTGACCTTGACCTGGCCTCGACCTGAAATTCATCCAGATGTGGTCCATATCACTTATTGAGTGTGTCTATTGAATTCTATGAATAAAATGACATATGAAACATGTGTCGCACATGCCCTTTTCTATATTTCGTTTTTGGTGACCTGACCTGACCGGACCTTGACCTTGACCTTTGCATGCTATTGTATGCAACGAATATTGTCTTGGTAGTCTAAAGAGACGTTTTGGACTATCAGTCTCAGTCCATTCTTCGGCAACTACGGTGCAAGGCCGATAATAATGTAGAAGCTTGCATTTTGTACCCTTGACTTGACCTTGACCTGACCTCTGACCTACTAAAGCAAAAAACAAATCGGCTCTTAAGATCCGCCTTGTTGAGAGCTTTCGATTGCCGTTTTCCCCGTCTTTCCAAGACCATCGATTCGGAAGTTAGGCAGGGGGGGGGGGGTGGCAGAGTCTGCCTCCCCAGAAGGGCGCGTATGGCTGAATAGCCCATCGGGGCGCGGGATAGAGGTCACGAAAAATTCTGAGAAAATTTGGCTGAATGGCTCAAAATTTAAAATATGTTCAATTTTAACGTGTTTGTGTTGTAACACCTCAGATTACATCACTTCAAAAATGGTGTCATTGTGTCCCCTGTGATCAGCCGAATCGAATGACATGTGACATGCTCAATTTTGATGAGCTCATGAACCTTTGAGTTTAATTAATTAATTTAAAACCACTTGATTTTTAGTGGTCAGGTAAATGACCCAAAAGTCGGGAAAAGCGGGACCTGCTAGAACGTCTTATAGTGTGGCTGCTATGGGGTTTTTCGGGATGCTGATCACGAATATCATGTTATTTACAGGGTGTCCCATAAGTTCGTTCTCACATTTTATTTGCATGTTGAACAGAGTACTTTGCGTTTTGATATATTTATGACCCCTCAATGTGCTCCCCATTTAATAGGCAAACACATGAACACATGCTGCGGCATGCCAACCGGCATGTTTGGCTGCATAGCAGGCTTAAAGTTAAACCAGACTGACTTGACATGCGCCGTGAGCTCCTCGAGGCTGGAACAGCGCTACGCTTCGACGAGCCTAAATTTCAGCATAACCAACAATTTTTTTATGAAATTTTGATCCGATGAGGTGCCTGGCATGTGGTCTTGCCACAAACGCCTGTCACAGTCTCCTTCCACCGCTTTTAAGCTTTGCTTGGCCTGTGCACTGATGCACTGTCTTGCCTGAAGATGGGCCTACGACCTCTCGGATGCCATTTTCTCCTCTATAAATGTGTTCATACTCGCGGTTCGAGTTCAGCTTGAGGGCTGAAACTCCTCCTAGATTTTCTTGGAAAAGCATTATGCTTCCCAAAGCTGTTTCTGGGACACCAATCGCAACCTGGTCAGCGTCTGGACGCCTATAACCCTACAATACCGTGATCTTGGCCTTTCGCATAGGAACATAACGGGACGAAACGGAGGCCTCCTCCTTCGCCCTTATGGGGTTGTTTTCGGGTTTGGACGGGTGTTTCATCTCGAACGTGGACTAGTTAGTCCAGATGACCTGGTTGATGTCCTCAGCCCTTTAGTTTTTTTTTTTTAGCCTCAGGCATAACGAAACTCATGTTTGGCCATTTTAAGACGTTTTTGACTGTTTTGAGCCCTCCGGTAAGCAAAGCTTAAGTCACCTTGAGTTATGTACCCCGTAAGAACAATTTTAGACAGCTGGTAATCCATCCTGAAAAGTCTGCTTACCAACTTTCTAACCCTTTGACCTTTTTGATGGCCACTTTGGCGCCACGCAGTTTTGGCCACATGGCTCACTCCTGAGAGCTGACAAAAAATAGGATAAACTTGCAATGATTGACTCCCGACAAATCATCGGTGTCACTTGCTGACTGTGCGTCCAGTTAGCGATGGACATTGTCTACAGACTGGTAGGCCTCAATCACCCTCAATCGTCGCGAATGGTCACGTGCTGACTAAATACCGAGACGTACCCGTATTGGAGACCTCTATGTTGCGGCGTTAGCCGTCTGTGTAGGAAACGGGCTCTCTAGCAAAAACTATTTTGTCTACAGAAATTAGTTACTGTGGAGCAATGAGCATATTTCTACCAGCCATGGCAACCACGTAAGCTCAGTAACGAAGCAATTTCAGCGTGTCTTTAAGCAAGAGAGCCTAAAAACGTAAAATTTAGGTGAGAACGAACTTATGGGACACCCTGTATGATCATAGATGATGTCTTCATGCAATTACACCAGGTCAGGTCAAGTCAGGTCAGGTCAACCAGTAGGGGTCCTGCCGGGTAGAAGTGTCTACCGCCTCTGGAAGCTTCGTAACATGTTACGAAGGCATCAGATCTACTCTGTAAATGTTCAATCAGTTGCTAAATTCGAATTCAGCTCCAAAAACTAAAACTAAAAAACTAAAACTAAAACTAGCCTAAAACGAGTTTCCGAGTATAAAACTCAAAAAAGTAAACTGAGGTCATCAAAGGTCTATGACCTGACCAGACCTTCAGGTGACTTTGACACCTACCCTAATGCATGGGACCAACATCATATGTTTGAACGCTTGAAACCACGAAAAGACTGCACAACGCGCGGCTAATGCGAGCCGACATACGACGAATTGCGATTCGGGCCAAACATGATCTCGAGAAATAGGCCACAGATCAAAGATCATTTGGGTCAGGGTCATGAAACTTTCAGGGTAGGTGTAAAATTGATCAACTCTCGAGCGTACTGAAAGTTTCGTCGCGATCGGCTCCTTAGGGGAAGTTGGGGGAACGCCGAATACTTTTTTTCTGACGCCCGTAGCACGCAAGGTAGACAACATAAGCTATTCTTGTTGGCGTCATTCGAGAGGCCAGTCTTTTGCCTTTCAAACATACCAGGCGCATTTGATGAATTCGCATACCGTTAAGCGCACAAACTAAAAATATCAAAGAAGTGACTTTTTCGGCGTTGCCCCGGACTGCGGGGAAAGCCGAAAATGGGAGAAATGATCTACGGGAATGCCGAAATTGATGTTTTGCTATTTTATCTCAAATTTTGTCCAGAATTCGTCAAAGCTGACACGCGTTTTAAGAGCTTAAGGACGCTTGGTGCACACTGGAAGTTATAATTGTGTGATATAGTAAGAAAAGGGCAGGTAAATCATTCCTTATGGTAACAGGCCGTTGTGTCGGTTAAAAGTGTAATTTGTGTGACTAAAAATACGCGTTGCTAATTCTACAGCGGTAAAGTTCACGTAGCGTGCTTTAACGCGCGTAATTGCACGTTTTCGGCATTACCCCAGCCAGCCATACTTTCATTTGCAGGCCCATAACTTTTCAACGTGCTGTATAAATTTCAAATAGGCAGCACACTTATGCAAAGACGTGCTGAAGATTACTTGACTGAATTGGCCAGACAAACGGTAGCATAATGAGTAGGAAATGCAGCTTCGAAGACGCATGTAGTACAAAGGAAACGTACCTTGAAAACGCTCTTGGCGCCCTCACAGCCGAAGTATTCCGAATGACGACTGGTAACAAACATGCGATAATTGGTAGTCACTTAAGCTTCAGAGCATCACTGACAGGTGGCATCCATGTCGTACGGTTTTCGAAATATCTCGAATTTTGGCTTTGCCCCAACTCCGGCATTGCCCCAACTTCCCCTATTACGCGAGCTATTCGCGAAAAACCGAGGGCCGGGGTGGGGGGCCGTTCGACCCCCCTCCCCTCCTATACGGGTGAGGGTTTAATTGGTAACAAGGTACGAGTATACCATTCGATGAGCGGTTGACGTGCTGAGTTCACTGATGCTTTTATTCTTGCTCTGTCTTTATTAGATCAAAAGTTATAGGCAAAAAACTTGTGACGAGCTTTAGCAATATTTTTACCTTTAAACCCCTAAAACCCCCCTTAATGATGAGCTAGAGTAAAAAAATTAGCACAAGAGAGATATTTTATATGGGCCCATCCGTACCCTGTAAATTCAGTGTTTCTAAGTCCAATAGGTGCCCATCGCCAGGGGGATCGTAGCCCCCGGCCGTCCTTGTTATGAAAAAGGCTTGCGATGGTTAAGGGCCAAGGGGAAATGTCACTTCCCGAAACGGTGATGGAGAAGCCATTTACTTTTCCGATTGAAGCTTTGGCAATTGGCACCAACTAACGTTAGTTCAGTTTTTGTCGGGGATCATTTTGAGTCCGTTTTGGACGGACCAGTCTTGAAGACACTGCATTTTCTTTGCAAGCCGAGTTTTAAGTTTTGCTTGACCTTCGTTGCCCACAGTCCCGCAGAATCTAATGACTGAGTGTCATCAGCGTATGATGTAATTCCACCGTGAGCAGGAAAGTCGGGGAGATTATTTTCATTGATAAATATGAGGAAGAGGATTGGACGGACTAGTGACCCTTGGGGTACACCGTGCAGTAATGGCAGCAATTTTGATCCTGTCTGCCCTGGGTTCGTCAGGTAGCTTGCGAACCAGTAGGAGGTGATACCATACCACTCTAATTTGTTTAGGAGCGCTGGGTGGCTTACACTATCGAACATTTGACTTAGATCGATAGTTGTAAGTGGTGCTGTTTGACCTTGGTCAGTGGCACGTGTGACGTAGTCGACAACACTTCTGTGAGATTCATGGGTGTTTAGAAGCATTAACTGCATTTGTTTGTGTCATGTCATTGTCCTTTTTATCACTGGAGAGTGATCCCTTGCAAGCCGTTGGTAAAATATGTGCGATAAGCATAATACCTTACCTATCGCGGGACAGAACCGCCAGGCGGATATACGCTAGATTAGGCGCCGACGGCCGCTGCAATCGCTAAAGGAGCTCGAAAGTTCCGTCCACGCTCCGCTGCGTTTAACGTGGACCTGGTGTATGTGTGTGTGTGTGGGGGGGGGGGGAGGGCCTGGGAGACCAAGTAAAAGCATATCCACGTGCCCGATGGCGACTGGGGGCACTGTGGCCGAGGTTGGGATGCCGCCCGCCGCGCCGGCCGGGACGCCGGCGACGGCACCTGCTTCGGATGCGAACGGACAAACTCGCTCGCTGCCACAGCTGCAGCTGATTCTCACTGACGATGACGCCTGCCTCACCTGGTCACTGGCCACCATGATGAAACCTTTCGCTGATTGCTGCTGTCAATCACAAGCCGATGCACTTCTCAATCTCTCACTGGCTGCTGGATCTGAGATCACTCGTCTGACTCGCTCCTCGATCACTGATTAGTGGTGCTGAACAGCTCACCCTCGAAGCGCCTCTCCAGTCGCGGTTCGGCACCTATTGACCCCTAGGGCCGCCGGCCGGCAGCTTTATTCGCACGCACACCGCCCGCGGAAATGACGTGCAGCGGCGGCGGTCGGATTCCCTGGCGGCCGCCGCTTTTTCTCAGGGTGCGTTCTTTGCACGGAAATTTAACGTGAAATGTCACGGCTCAGTCACCTCCCGGCCGCGGACGTCCCGGTGTGACGTCACGGTGAGCGGTGACGTCACCGACCGGCGGACGGACACACGGACCGGTCTGCAGTCGATGACGTCACGCTGCGCCGGAGACGTCCCGTTACACTGCAGACTACAAACACCGTCCGGGCTCCAGCGCACACCACCCGTACAGACACCGTCCGGGCTCCAGCGCACACCACCCGTACAGACACCGTCGACACTGCTATCATGGATTTTTGTTGTTGTGAATCTTACCCTCGCCCGCACATGCCATTTTCCCATCCTAGAACGAACGCACATAGGGGGGAGGGTGCCACCCCCGCGCCATTTCATCCCGGTTGGAGATAGAGCTTCGTGGTAAGACCAAAAAGATTCCTTGGGAAGAGAAGAATCCAATGATACCCAGTTTTGCCTCCTCAGGTCAGTCATTGTCCTTCCAGGTCAGGTCAAACTAAAAATGTTGCTGTTTTGTGTCACCGTTGGATATTAAGTGCGCTGCCCATCATTCACCGATGACGATGCCGAATTGTGGTGCCAAGCCAGCTAGAACCTCTTTGTTACACTATCCGACCAGGTTTTTGCTGCTGAGGTCATTTCAGGTCATTTTAGGTCAAGGTCACTGATATGTGTTTGAATGTCTGTGTGTCTGTGTGTATACTTATCCCTCGCCCCGTTGGGGGGGCATTTTGGCCCCCCCCCTGTGGTTTTTCCTGAATAGCAAGAAAACGGCGGCGCGCAGCGCCGCCAAATTTTCAGTACCTTCCCGGGCATCAATTTGACACCTTCACACCAAATTTCAAGACTTAGGTCATCTTAGGTCAGGAGTTATTGAGGTCAAACTGAGGTCATGTTCGAGCAAAAATGAGCAAAAAACATGCAATCTTGAAACGCTCACCAAACCTACAATTATCAAGCAATTTCAAAGTTCTTTATATGGTCTAGTAGACAAAAAGCGGTGCTACAAAACTGCTATCTCGGATTTTCAAAATTTTGGGTTTTTGACCCCTAAAAATTTAAAAAAAAATGATTTTTTTTAGAAAAACTAAAAAAAATCCAAAACTTTTCCGAATTTCGAAAAAACCGGAACATATGTGATAGTCCCTGCGCTCTTCTATGTACATACCAAATTTCAGATCAATATCTTGCTTTTTGGCCAAGGTATAGCGAAAAAACTGTTTAAAAATGATGACGTCAAATTTTTTAACTCAATTTTTAGCGATTCTAGACCACGTACGGCGAAACAAAGACCACCATTGAACTCCCCGTGACAAGCTGCATCGATTCGATACCAATTTTATGCAAAAATATTAACTTTGAAATTTTACCTAATTTGACCTGACCTTGACCTGACCTTGACCTGACCTTGACCAAAACGTGACTTAAGCTGGCCCCAAAGGCTGCCTGACCCACATAATCGCATTTGTCATGTAAAATGGACCATAAAACATGCATCACACGACACTTTCATATTGTGACCCCCCAGTGACCTGACCTCTGTGACCTGACCTGGTATCAGTGACCTCAAATAGCAAAATATGTGTTTGAAGAACATTTCCCCATCGATGATTTTCAATGAAATGCATTTTACTGTCTGTGAACGGTGAAAATCTGACGTTTGACCTGACCTGTGACGTTATCGGTTTGACCTAGGTCAGTGAAATTTGGTCACATGACACATGGTAGTTCCCGGGTGGAGCTATCGAACGCCGTTTGAATGTTTGCACGAAACTGCCCCAGGTATGGGGCACTCGACAGTCATAAATTGCAAAAAAAAAAAACAACAACAAAAAACAAACACGAATGTGCCCCTAGGCATTGCGTACACGAACCTGCCCCACGACGTTTTTTGTAATACATTCCATTTTTTTTTTGCTGTTGAAAAATGACACTTTTTTAACAAACAAGCTTGCAACAGTTCCGTCATCCGTGAATAGGGTGAGGTTCTTACCCGCGAATTTTGAAAAGCTGAACCGCATTTCCGAGTCAGGATCACGAAAATGAATGCTATGAAAAAAGCTTGAAAAAACGCACGAATAATACAACCTAGGGTTTTTATCAAGCAGTATAGCAGGTACAGTGTTGTCTTGTACAGTGAACGGGGGGGGGGGGGGGGGAGGGCGGCAATGATAGCCATGTTTTTTATAATTTACCTTTAGCTTCGGCAGCCACTCGTGTTTCAGTGGCGGCGGAACACCTTCAATTAAGGGGGGACACTGCCGACTTTTGGTACCAATCTTAGGGCCAATGTTAAAATGACAAAATCAAAGGGGGCACGGTGCCCCGGTGCCCTCCCCGTTCCGCCGCCTATGTCGTGTTTCCATAAACTGCCGGAAGCGTATGTGCCCCATGCACGAAAGTGCCCCGCTCTCCCCTAGTCGAAAATGGACCAACTGTTAAATTAGTGGTATCCATAATAATCTTGAGTTAGCGTAGCCAAGCCAGCACTACACTTAAAAAGCTAACTTCTTCTCTACTCGGTTAAAAGGAATTGGGCGACGGTTTTGCATGTTGGGACATATGATGCAACGCAGACGATGTCTCGTGCTGTTTCAGTATCCGACCGCAGAGATCAGACACTGTTTGTAAGGCTGACCCGCAATATACACTGTTCCATGTAGGTTTACGTACCTTCTATCATACTAAGTACTAACGTACTAGCGCAAAACATCTCTGAATATCAGTGGAGCGATTCAAGGCCAGACTAGACCGCATTGCTCCTGTGGCACGCGAGTTGCACGTATCTACTCGGTTCTGTTTTTACAAATACCTAACTGGATGACGGGTCTGTCGCTTTGGACCGACCGTACCACTAACTAGTACCGGAGGCGCGGCCCCCGAGGACGGCGGCCAGCAGGCGGAGCACAATGGGAGGCTGGTGACGAACCAGTGGGCCGTGCCCTACAATCCGCTGCTCAGCCTTCGCTACGAGTGTCACATCAACGTGGAGGTGTGCTCCTCTGTGGACGGAGTTAAAGGGACCCTCCCACCTTCAAAAAAGTTTATGAATTGGCATGGAAGTGATGTCGCTCGGTTCAGAAAGAGCGAAAACGAATATCTACCAAATTTCACCGAAAAATATTCACCGGTTTTCAAGATATTAGACTTTTACTTTTGTTTACTTTTTTGGGATCTCCGCTGTTTCTAGCGACTTTATTTTAGAATTGCGGCGTTTGCGGCAGATGTTGCGCGCAAATAGCATATACCACCGCGTGCTACAAAACGTTTTAGTCAAACATTTAAAAATCGTTAGATATCTGCGCTGACGTCACACATTCAGAGGGGTATTCCTAAGCATTAGCCCCTCTGAATCAAAATGCTGCAATTTTGAAATTCAATATTTCCGATTTAAGGCATTTCTCGATGTTGTGAGTGCCGAAACCGGTCATTGTGAGCCAGGGACCCCATTTTGGCTATCTCAACTCAAATCTAATGTTAAGGTGGGAGGGTCCCTTTAAGTACATTTTTATGTACAGGGTGGGGCAGCATAATCGGGAATGCTTTTTGGGCTCTAATCATGAGTAGGCATGACATTATTTTGATAAATTATAGCATGGCAATGAAACGCCCAAAAGTTGTGCATCATCTAACATGACTACATCCATGAGCATGCAACCTCCTGGAAAAGAGCAGCAAAATAGTTCGACGGTGCTCCAAGTGCTTTGCGCGCGCCCATAGACACTAATGTTAAACGAGTAAAACAAGAACATTTTGTTGAAACCCCTGCAATTCCACGTAGGGGAGAGTGGGGCAATGGCGGACGGTGGGTAATGCCGGCCACCCATCTCTAGTGAGTACTTTGTCCATCACTAATCAGTTGATGTTGTTTACATTTCAGTTGAGCGCCATTCTAGCACGTGGTGCAAGTTTGTCACGGTAGCTCCATTATTTTCATTTTTATAGCGTTAAATGTGTTTTTCGTATCTGATTTTTAATTTTTGTTGCATCTATTTGCTGACTGTGAAATGTGTTAACGCATTTTCAGAAGTGCTGCTTTGCAATGACCTTCAATTAAGCCTTTTTTAGGCGACTGCTGGATGTGAGGCGTTTGCGGCGCAATGCCTTTGACTGCTGCCTGCTTTCTTAAAATAAAGCTGACCTCGGGGTAATACCGGACACGTGTCCGGAATGACTCCACGCGGTTTTGTTTGCGACTTCTGTCGTTAAAGCTCAACGTTTCGGGTTGCTGTGTTTACAGCTGTGTTAGTTTGCTTGCTGTGTTTACGGTTGTGTTAGTTTGCTGCTCTGTTGGCGCCGCGCTGTTGTGTTGCAGCGAGTGCAGTGTTGTGTTGCAGTGCAGTGTACTGTTAACTGCTGAATACAGTTGTCGTTTCTTAATTCTCACTTAAATTTCCATCGAAAGAACGGTTTAAGGATGATTACCAGTGACGATATTTTGACTTTTTGTGCTATTGCACTTAGTGGCCGGCATTACCCCTCGCTTTTTTGCACCTCCATTTTTCACCACATTTTCGCGTAGGCTCTGAATCTGTCATCAGTGATCTGAGATACTAAAACTGGGTGCTATCTGAAAGCCTATTCCTTTGGCTATAACCACAGTCAAAATCACCATAAAATAGCTTCAAATAGCTAAGCTATTGAGCAAAATGCTTATGGTGTCGCCATTGCCCCACTCTCCCCTAAAGGTTGCTGGACAGGTCAACGTGTTATCACGGACAATAAGGATTGTGTGGGAATACTTAGGACAAAAGGTTAACGTAATCGTCGTAAAATAACTCTTAGCAGAGGACATACAGATGACTCACTTGAATATAAGGAAGACGCTCTTGAGCATATTAAAAAGAAACAATGTTCAAAACTTCAGCGACCAAAAATCTCACCACCGACTGGAATACGACAAAAAAGAATGGCAAGCCATATAGGGGATTGTATCGAGAATATTCCAGCGGTCATGCAAAGTAAACATCCTGTTGGGGTGATGGACCTATGGGTGGTCTTCAAGGGAGGTGCACGTGGTGCACCCTACTTCATCGAGCCCAGATAAAATGAGCACCTCTGGTAAATACATCCGCACTGTGGCAGACTCATGTGGAGCCGTCGGAACAGAGGATCACTGACGGTCCAGATCACGTCTTACGAGGACTCTGTCCGTGCTGGTACTGCAGTGAGGACGACATGTTATTGTGTAGGGCACCTCCACCTGAGATGAACCAAAAACTTCTGGTCCTTCAACTCCGCCGATTTAAATCCGACCAAAT